AAGTGGAGGGGAAAGCAGGGCTCAAAACGATCCTGCAGCGCTTTGATCCCTTTCCACCTACACTTGCTAAGCCCCACTTATATTTCTAAATTTTGGATTAGAAAAGTGAGGGGGCGTCTTATACATGGGGTATCTTATACATGGAAAAATATGGTGCTTCTTGATTCTCAGCATTGCTGGTGCAGAGGGTGGGCCAAAGTGTCAAGCCTAAATATTAGGAGGCAAGTCCAAAGTATGTATGGGTAAGGTGACATGTTTGCAGAATCACTAATTTTTGAATTTCAGGGAACAAATTAACAGCTATTGGCAACTGTTTTAAATTAGCAGCCAAAGATTTAAGATTTACCCTGGTTGCTAAAATTAGTATGAAGAGGAGAATAATCTAATCTTGCTTCCATATCCTTTAAACTTCTTGCCTCAGTATTTAGTACTTTGCAATGTCTCTACTTTTGAGGTGGCTTATTGATGGAACTCCAACTTCTGTGAGATATATTTGTTGCTTATTCAGAAATATAATATCCAGTTTATGAAAATTAACTGTTTAATTGTGGTAAATTACTTGTCCCAGTACAGTATTGCAGTTTCATTTTCTAAAACTAGAGTTGGCTGGGATTTATAATGTGAAGGAAAATATAGGTGTAAACCATAAGATTTGGCTAAGTGCTAAAAAATGATCTTTACAACTTGGTTATGCCTGCATGTGTAATCAGTTGATACTAGCCTGAGGCATCCAGCTATGAAATGTTGAATTGTTTCTTTAGATTCATGACAGGCCCTATGTATCACTTACAGCTTGCTTCATAATTATTTTCTGATGATATCTGATGCAAATTACTTAGTCCTGGATTGTGTATATAAATACCTTAGCTTCAGCCTGAGGACAGCCTAATTTAAGACACAGGTTCGATTTTTGCTTACTGACATTCTCATCCAGGAGGTCAACTTGGATTCTATCCATGTATTGGTTTCTCAAATCATGCATCCCCTCATTATGAAGTTTCCTTAACATAGACTGGTTCCTGCAAACTGGAATATTATTGTCCCTTTAAAATTTTCTATCATCTGATAAAGCGTCCCTCCCATGGAAGTACTTTTGAAGTCTGATTATTTGATTCACACAAAAACTCTTGAGATGAATAAGCCCACACCGAACTATACGTGTACATACCTTTGGATGACAGAAGGACTCAGGTTTTCCTATTTAAATCATCAAGCTACTTTCAGTCAACAGATCCAGAAGAATGTATTAATTTGGGGATTGCCCAGCTATTATCAGTAATTTGCATGAAGTTCTATTCTGAGTACTGCTTTCACTTTAAGAACCTGTCCCTAATTAAAGTTCCTTGTAGTTTATCTTCACATTTTCATGGATGCTTAGATATTTATACCATGTTTCCCCAAAAATAAGACAAGATCTTATATTAGTTTTTGTTCCAAAAATGCATTAGGGCTTATTTTCAGGGGTTGCTTTATTTTTTTCATCTACAACAATCTACATTTATTCAAATACAGTCATGTCATCTTCTTCTGGTTGCTGCACAATGCTGCACCCAGAAATTTTACTGGGGCTTATTTTGGGGGTAGGGCTTATATTATGAGCAACCTGAAAAATCATACTAGGGCTTATTTTCAGGTTAGGTCTTATTTTCAGGGAAACAGGGCAGGTTTTTTATCATCATAATCCTCATCAATCATCAATAATCAGTCATCCTCATCACCATCATGCCATTTCTGATGCTTTATAAATGATAATAACTTAGGTTTTGTTTTTAAAATTGCTCCTTATCCTCTGATAGTGTTTATGTAGAATGTAAATTGCACCTTCTGGTTCCGTCTCTGGCTCCCTCTCACAAAACTGATTGAACAGCTGGCAATTTAGACAGCTCGTGCCTGAAAGATGCAAGGCAGAGACAAGGGCAGAGCCAGATCAAAAGGAAATCTTTTATCATGCCTCATATTACTATTAACACTCTGAATCACTGCATCAAGCCAATTTTCATGCTTGTTTTTAAGTTTGCTAGAAAAGTCGCAAGTGGAAAAATTAAGTAAAGAACACTGGTTAGCCACAAAACTAGACACACCTGGCTGCATAACCACCAAAAGAAACTGACTTCATTAGTTCTAGGGGCAGCAGAGTAAAATTTATATATGAAATCCGGCTGCACCAGTAGAATTGCTGAGGCCAAAGGCTTTCTTTCTGTTTTTACAGCTGTGTCAAGTTTTGGTTACTACTCTTGCCAACAATCAAGAGTGCTGAAGGAGCCCAGGTTAAAGGCTTCAAAAACTTTGCAGCTGAGATTCAGATTGTATTAATTTTAATAGCTAGTCTATGAATTAATGTATCATATAAAACTAGTACATATTTTAAGTAAAAATGCAGTGAGTCGCACTGGTTCAAATCATTATATCTGTATGTTTTTAACAAATGCATACCCTAGCACCAGATTAAGCCATTTGATCAGAAAGATAATGTTAACATCAATTTTGTCTGCTAACTATATGTTGACAGTTAGCAAAAAAAAAAAAAAAAAGGTAGCAAGATTTCAGTTACCTCTCCAAAGTATTACCTCAATTTCAGTTTTGAGCAAAATTTCCTTTCAAAAGTAGTCCAATTAACTGTTAACTGGCTAAAGAGAATTTTCTTATACCAGTATAGCTCATCTTTCCATTCCATTTCCATATCAGATCTACCATCCCCGGTTGCTAAATAAACACTTCCTAACTTATATAGTGTAATACTCAAAACTGCTAGATCACATAAAAAACTAACATTGTTAGAATTGGTTGTTGTGGGTTTTTCGGGCTCTTTGGCCGTGTTCTGAAGGTTGTTCTTCCTAACGTTTCGCCAGTCTCTGTGGCCGGCATCTTCAGAGGACAGCACACTGTGCTCTGGTGTAGTTGGCTTGGGAGTAATTCAAAGAAATTGTTAGAATTACTTTGAATTACTAAGAGCAGGAGCATCTTCATTTCCTCTACTTGCACAATGTCATATTGCACAACAGTTGGGCTCTTTAGGAATTGACACCAGGAGGTATGCAACACCCTGTGATATGAGTGTAATCCCCTTTTCTTTCAATGGAGCAAACTTGTACTTGAACAATGGCTAGCTGGAAATAATAGGAAGATCTGAAGACAGGTCATTACACTCCATTTGACATCAATTGATGTTGGATCCTGGCCTAGATTGCATCAGCTGCGGTCTCATTTTTTTACCTAGACACTGGCGTTCCTTAGCTGCTCTACCTGGACTAGAGTTTTCTTCCTCAGTTTGCATAGGCAGGTAGAACAGACTACGTCAGAATGGAATGATGTTCTAATTATTAATTGTAGATACAACAATCAGAGGCTAATATTGTTGTTTCAAATAAGAAAATTCATACATGTTAGCCTGTTCATAGCCTGCAAATAAAGAGTCCCCACTGTGATTTTCAGGGATGCTCAAGCATGTGCATGTACCCCTCTATCCAAGAACTGGGAGAAGGACTTTTTATTTTGCAGTTAGGAACAGACGGAAAGTGGCAGATTTTCACACACTAAGTAAAAGGATTTCAACCAGTCAGTATCTTGAAGTATCTGGGGACAAAAAAGCAACAGACTTTTGCCCAGAAACTACTGACGTTACTGAATCGGTATTCTAAAACATTACAGAAAAGGGCAGACTGAATGATAATGGTCTTACCAGATAATTTTGAACAGAAAATATGGAAGTATGGAAGTCTGAGTCAACCATAAGCCTGCTACCCAACACTGAACCCTCAATCATGAGCAGTTTTGGCTGATGTACAGCAATTTAACCACTGTGCCATGATGCTCTTTTTTATTTTTTAAACCAACCCTTCTCCCCCTCTTCTTCCCTGAGAGGAGCAAGACAAAGAATGATACCAACTTCCAAACTGATGTGAATGTCTAAAAAGACTGGCACTTTTCTATAAAAACCCTTGAAGTTAGAAGAACCCTTCTCCCTTCCCTGTAAGTGGTCCTGGCACTCTTCTCCCTTCCCTGTAACTTCATCAAGGATAAACACCTCCAAAGTAGCCATAACCAGACACCATAATTAGGCCACAGCAGTAGCGCAGCATGGCAGGGGCAGGAGGAGCAACTGCTGTGTTTTCATGCCCTGTGCTTCATCTTGACACGTGTGGTGCTGGGTGATGAAGGGGAGTAGACTGCCCCATGGAGGAGAGAGACCTAGTAGGCTCATCAGATAGCCCTTCCTGAAGCTGGTGGAGGGCGTGCGGCTGCTACTGCTACTAATGCTGGGCAGCCGGAGGCATACGGGCTGGAATGGGGGTGCTGGGAGTCCATGTGGTGCTGTGCCTCTTCCTGGCTACTGTCAGGCTGCTGGTGGCGCTGAGCCTGGCCAGCAGCATCTTTGTGTTGGGCTGATGCTGGGAGCTGAGCGCAGCCATGTGGGAGCTAAAGAAGGTGGCAGGGGTGATGGGAGTTGGAGGCACAGCAGGCCATCCTCTGCACCAGCATGAGTTAGGCGAAAAGAAGCCGGGTGCCTAAGGGGCACTCCTATCAGGAACGGAGGGATGCTGTGGAAAGTGGCAGCAGCGGGTCCATGGGTTAGGAGGCACAATACTTGCCCTGGGTGCTGGCAACCCATGCTATGCCACTGAGGGCGGAATCTCTTGTCAGGTGACCAAATTTAATGCTTACTTCACATTTCATCTGCCATTAGCAAGTTAGAATTGTCTGCTACTCTGACAGAACTGTGTTAGGGGAATATATGAAGGATTACATATTAGTCATTACAGTTATTTAAATAAGACATGAGAAATATAGATTTAGCTTAAGATGGAATATATGATCAGCTATTATTTGTACATCGTAGTGAGAGTATCATCTGCTCACAGTCACTGTTCTGAATATACTAAATAGCAAAAACCTGAAGGTAACACTCATCCATAGGCTGTCTTTACCTGAATTCAGATGCCCCGCCATTCTGACAGAGTGAAACAGGAAGATAACAAAATTGTAAGGCAAAGACTACTCACCCCCATGACCTTTCCACGTTGGAGAACATCCTCCCACATAGAGTAAACAATATATCGGCACATGTATTTTCCTGCTCTCCCCTCTTGCTTCATTCGTACTAAACACATCCTACAGAAAAGGAAAGGAAACAGGTCTGCCTTAAAGTTTCTGAAAATCTTAAGTGTAAAATTATAAAACATGAAAAGCAGAAAGTAAGCCAAAGGATATATTGTGAGTCCACATCCCAGACATACAGAGCAGGAATGTAGCCAGTTATGAGATAAGAAAAACCCAATTCTCCAGCTTTAGTTGTATTCCCACATTTGTTTCTGTCAAAACAGTCGTACAAGACAACCAGAATCTGACAGCACACTCTTTTGTTTATTTATTTTACACAGAAGAAAGCACCATTGTTTTTAAATGAAGCATACAGATAGATGAGTGTGCAAGACTGCAGCCTTGAGGCTACCTAAATTGGACATTTCTATATAGACCTATATAGGATTTAACTGCTAAAAGGGAAGTATATAGTATACACATCATGTCCACATGATCTAAGGTGCTAGCAGCCTTCCCACAATCTTTTTCCATATACCATCTAAAAACTATAGAGAAGGTATGGCAGACAGAAAGGAGGTGGGTGGGCTGTGTGAATTCATGAACCAAAGTTACAGATAAACAAAACCATCTTCTTTTTTCATCATATAACAAACAATCAACACTCAAAGGTATACAGATACAGGGGGAGGGGGAAGGAAAACAAGGGAAAGTAGTTATAATAATACAATATATAATATAATCTTGGCTCCATGGTTGTGTTACAATATGAAAATCCATAACATATGCTATATTCTCTACTCATGTTTGTTTCTGGGCCCAATCATAATACATGTTTAGCTTTCTTTAATATATGTTCTCAGGTTCTCATGTAATGTAATTATTGTAATTATTATTGTAATTATTATTATTATGTAATTATGTAATTAATGTAATTATTATCATGTAATTATTGTAAGCCGCCCAGAGACCTCTGGGTAGTGTGGGCGGCATATAAATTGAATGAATGAATGAATGAATGAATGAATGAATGAATGAATGAATAAATAAATAAATAAATAAATAATGCCTCTGACAGGCTATCCGTTTTTGCAATATCCAATAAATTTTAATCAGCTCCTCCACCTCTGGATTTGGGCCCATTTTTGGGCCCAAATCAGCCTTGCAGCCGTAAATATGTGCAACAGCATACAGTATATTAATTTTTTTTTATCAATAATTTCTGGCATTATATTCAGCAGAAACATTTCTGGTTTAAAGGCTATTTTTTGTTGTATAATTTCTAGTGTAATATCTTTTATCTGTCTCCAAAATCTTTTTACTCTATCGCATGTCCACCACACATGAAAAAAGTCCCAGGTTGCTCACCGCACTTCCAACATGAGTTGCTAACCCTCGTCGCCATTTTTGCCAATTTTACATGTGTAAGATGCCATCTATAAAACATCTTTAAAAATTTTTCTCTCACATTTACTGGTTTAATCCTTGTATAATTATCATTCCACATTCAAGTCCAATCATCTATGTCTATATTATAACCCAAATTTTGTACCCATTTAATCATCACTGCTTTCACTCTTTCATCTTCTAAATTACATTCTAACAAAACAGTATACATTTCTGTATAATCTTATCACTAGTATAGATCCATAAATCATCCACATGAACCCTCCCCTTCATAAAAGCTTATTATTTTGTCTTTTTAAAACCTTGATTCTAATTTTAATATCACCCACCAGTATGTTGGTAGGCCCTTTTCCTTCAGCTCCTGTATATTTTTTAATTGTTGCTCTTTGGTTAAAAGCTCTTTATACATATATGTCACTTTTTTTAGATTAGTGAAGGTTGTGTGAAAGCTTCCAAAGGCGCTACCCATATCAGAATTTTTTGGTCTTTGACCTTGCCATACCATATATGTGTGTACTATCCTAATCAATTTTAAAAGTATTTGGTCCTCCAAAGTAGTCCATTCCTTTATCCAGTACACTGTACAGGCTTTGCAGTATACTAAACAATTTAGGTAAGCCCATTCCTCCTCTTTCTTTTAAATCTGTAGGGCTTTAATTTTTTAAAAACATTTTCAAAATAAAAACAAATTAAAAATACTTACTATACAGTCTAAACCACCATGCACCCCATATACATGGGACCCCTTGGACCAATTATTTTATTACGAACCTTCTTTCCAAATTGTATTGATTGTTGTTTAGAGGCTTTCCCCATACCTTTCACTAATACAAATTGCAGTTTGCCCCAGTTTTCCAAATTTTCCTGTATTTCTTTAAGTATTGGAAATGTTTTAAGTATTGTCTTTCATCAAGTTAAAGTGGTGCCTCGCATAACGAGTGCACCGTTTAACGATGAATCCGCATACTGATGCGGATTTTGCGATTGCTAACGCGATCACATACTGATGTTTCTTCGCATAGTGAGGGGGAACAGTTGTTCGGCGGTGGCTGGAACACCCAAAATGGCCGCCGGAACACCCAAAATGGCTGCTGGAACACCCAAAATGGCCGCTGGAACACCCAAAATTGCAGCCGGGACATGGGGAAACATCGCAGAACGGTGAGTATTTTTGTTCTCTTTGTGTCTCATTTTTTTGTCAGATTTTTTTTTTGTAATTCAGTTTAAATCCTGATACTGCACCAAAGTTTTCAATTGTGGATATTAATTCTCTAATCGATTCCTCCAGGCTTTCTAGCAATAATACCAAATCATCAGCATAAGCTTGTAGTTTGTATTCTTCTCCTTTTATTCTCAATCCCCTAATTCTGTGATTTTGCTTTATTCGTCTGTTTAACATTCCTAATGTCAAGATAAAAAGTAAAGGTGATAAAAGGTATCCTTGTCTTCTGCCTTGTTGAATTTGGATCTCCTCCAAGATTTAGCCATTGACCTTGACTTTTGCTTTTTGTTGTAAATAAATTTACTCCACTGCCTGAAAGAAGCTTCCTTGAAGGCCCATCATCTTTAATTGGTTCAATATAAAATCCCAATTCACATTATCAAAGGCTTTCTCTGCATCTAAAAAGATTAGCATAATTTGTTTTTCTGGATGAGCTTCATAGTACTCCAATATATCTATTACTGTTCGTATATTTGCAGCCTATTTCCGTTCAGGTAGAAAAGCAGTCTGGTCTTTATGTATCATCAGGGTTAGGACCTTTTTCAGCCTGTTAGCCAATATTGAAGCAAAAATCTTATAATCCGCATTTAACAGGGAAATCGGTCTGTAATTCTTAATTTGATTCCTTTCCGTTCCTGTTTTATGTATTAGAGATATATGGGCTTCTTTCCATGACTCAGGTATTTTTCCACCTGTCTCAATAGCTTCTAACAGTTTTTTTTTTTTTTTGAAATATTCTTCCTGGAAAGCTTTATAATATTCTGTCAGTATTCAGCTTTATAGTATTCTGCCATCTGGTCCAGGTGTCTTACAGTTTTTCTTTTTTCCCCCCATGCTTCCATGTTTTCATTCATTGCTATAGGTTATTTACATTTTTTAACTGTTGATCCGATAACTTTCAGGGGAGGGTTGCTTCCAAAAAACTTTTTTGTTACTCCAAAGGTATTTCTTTTTTCCTTATACAAATTGTAATAAAATCTTTGGGCTATTTCTTTAATTTTTTTCCTGTTTGAAGGTTTCCTTCCCTTCCTTATCTAGAAGCGAACTGATAATTGAGTTTTCTCTCTCTTTTTTAAATCTTATATGCAAGCCATCATCCTGGTTTATTCACATTTTCAAAGAAGTTTTGTCTTGCGAATTGTACTTTCCTTGCCATCTCTTCCTGGTCAAGCAGAATAATTTTGTACTCTAATATATTTACAGGTATCTTATTTTTAAGTTGAACAACAACTTATTCTTCTTCATGGCTTCTATGAATCACACAACTGTGTGACTTGCCAGCTCAAACTATGATGAAGGAACGACACACAAGCAAATAACTACTGAAGTACAGAAGAAAACACTGCTCAGCCAAAGGAGGCATCATACTTAGCTTGCACATTCAGCCTGTAGAGTCGCAGAAAAGTAGGCGATTGGGAACATGTAGCTGCTTTACATATGTTTTGAATCTCGACTCCTCTTAAGCACTGGTTCTTAACCTTGGGTTACTCAGGAGTTTTGGACTGCAACTCCCAGAAGCCTTCACCACCAGCTGTCCTGACTGGGGTTTCTGGGAGTTGCAGTTCAAATGGATCCGAGTAACAAAGGTTAAGAACCACTGCTATAAATAATGCTGTCAATGTACTCACTGCCCTGCCCCCATACCCTTGATGACTGATGGTAAAGAAACTTTAGCTAGATCTATGCTAGTTTGATCATAACAACCATCCACTTCAATAAATGCTGGGAAGAAACAAATTGATCTTTCCTGTGACCATGGTAGCAAACAAAGGGTTTGACTATTTTTCTAATGTTTCATTTTACATAGGTAGAAGGCTGGTAAGTAACTACAGCTCTGAGGTACATCTTTAGGGATGAATGTGACAGACCAGATTTATTTAAAAATAAAAGAAAACTTAGTGCCATGTGAAGTTTAACTGACTAAGGTGTGGCATGAATGGAATTAGTAAGCTGTTGAAATCTTTTTGATTTATAAGGATAACAGCATTTAGTAGAATGTTTCCTTGCAGGTTGTAAAATCATCTCTGAAAAGGATATACCCTCCAAGCTATCAGATGAAGTATTTTTATGTCTGGATGCTACATTTGATACCTATGGGATGTGAGAAGATTGCTCCATGTCAGAAGGTGTTTGTCTGACACCATCAGATTTAACATTGAAAAACACAACTGACGTGGCCACCACTGAGTCTATAAGATCATGTCAGATTTGTTGTGTGTGATTTTTTACTAATGTCCTGTGGACAAGGGGGAAAGAAGGGAATAGATGCAGAAGATACCTTTACCAGGCCACTTTCAATTGTTCCTTGAAGTGAACACATCTACAATTGGCATTCCCCACTTTTGAGCCTACCCAAAGAAGGGCAGTGGTAAAGAATGCTCCAACTACCATACAATTGCACTCATTTCACACACTAGCAAGGTTATACTCAAAATCCTACAAG